GATCACTCACATTATTGTATTTATAAATAATAAGTAAATAAGAAGAATTGTAGCTCTTTCGAGCATTAGTGAGCTATTCATCCATCTTAACGACTTGTAACTTTCAATTTTCATTAACGCATAGACCCGTGAGTAAAAAAAAAGATAAAAAAGTTATATTGTTGTAGTGTATAATTAAATAAATAATTAATTAAATAGATAAAAAATAATTAGTATTAACTAAAAGATAAATATTTTTCATATTATGAAAAAATTATTTAAAATATCTATTTAAAAATATGCAATGCATGTGTTTTGAACTTGAGCATTTAAACTTAGTTATTTAGTCTCATCATTTGAGAACTTTATCTTAGTATTATTTATTTAGCATTTTTAATTTGCAATGCATGTGCTATAGAATTAAAATATATTAAATTTAAATTAAGTTATCAAACTTAATATTTTATTCAATATTTTATATTAACATTTTAATTTAATTTATTTAATCGTTTATTTGGGATTGCACTTGAACCATCACATATAAGATGGATTTTATGGTGGGATGGGGCTATGTGTATTGACAGTTTTAAATATCTATTAATTAAACATAATTTGTTTGTTTATGCCACGTGTATGAAAGTAATTATAATGTTAATTTTGGGTTTTATTGATTTATTATTTAATTTTTTATAATTATTGATACATCATGTTATTGGTTTAAAAATTAAGTTAGAAAATTCTGATCTTTTTTTTTTATCCTAATAAAATTTTCTGATCTAAGTTTTATTAGAATGACCATAAAAGATTGACACGTGATAATTTTTTTTAATATTTGTTATGCTCGATGTTTTAATATTTGATTATTTGTTATAAATTTTTAACAAAATTTTAATAATTTTTAAAATTTTATGTTATTAAAATTATACAAATTGATGTTATTAGATATAATAAAAATGTAACATATCAATATTTTAATTAATTTACTCTAATCAAATTAGGACGAGCAAGATATTCAGTCCAAACTTTTTTTTTCTTATTAATCTAAGATAATATTTTGCTAGCCTAAAGAAAGGCTATTTATTATTTTTTATAATAATGTTAAGTTTATGTAAAAATCATATGAATTAATTTGCTAATTTACTTTTTACATTTAAATAGTAAATAAATTCAATAGGTGGATTATGTTAAATACTATAGGAAATTCATCAAATACCAACTAAGCGCCAGAATTACCGGTAGTAGTTCGACTGCTGATAAAAGCAATGGTTATACCGGTGGATTGACCGACGGAAATGCCGGCGGTCATTTGGCATCAAGTAAATCCGTAGGAATTATATATATATGACGCAGTTACTGGCGGACCTATCGCCATTTTTAAGTGACTAATTTCCGATGGCTTAAGCCGCCTGAAATTTTGCCAATAGTCGCCCTAATACCCGCCAGAAAATCGGTCTTTTAACCGCTATTAATTGTTGGCGGGTTCCCTGCAGTTGACGCGCCTATAAATTCCAGCAGTTTACCTGCGATCTACATGATGGTAATTTCCGGCCGGCCGTTATAATCGCCGGAATACCATAAGAAATTACAGCCGCCGGTCTCAGTTTCCTACACGGTTTATTCCAGCGGGGTTTTAAGCATAATTTTTTTTAATAATAGCAAGAAAATCGTTCGTTCCACTCAAAAAATCCATCGGTATTGGCCGATTTTTCTATAGTGAAATCCATATGTAAATTCATGCCTAAATATGATTACAATAAATTTTGAGTTCTTCAAATTGTAAAATTTTTCTTGCAATGAACCTTAGTATTAATTAAAATTTTAATTTTGGTGACTATGAATAGAAGTTCTACTATTTTTTTTTTTCAATAATGAAATTTATTTTATGCTGTTTTCCACTAAAACCAATGTGGAGATGCGATCAAATTACCTTCATTGATATTTATTTATTGTTTTATGTATGATCAAAACAAATAAATTAAGGAAAATTTACGTCGCTCAAAAAATCCGTCGGTATTGGCCGATTTTTCTATAGTAAAATCCATATGTAAATTTATGCCTAAATATGATTACAATAAATTTTGAGTACTTCAAATTGTAAAATTTTTCTTGCAATGAACCTTAGTATTATTTAAAATTTTAATTTTGGTGACTATGAATAGAAGTTCTACTTTTTTTTTTTTCAATAATGAAATTTATTTTATGCTATTTTCCACTAAAACCAATGTGGAGATGCGATCAAATTACCTTCATTGATATTTATTTATTGTTTTATGTATGATCAAAACAAATAAATTAAGGAAAATTTACGTACATACTATAAATTTTTTATATATTATATATTTTATACAAGCTTTTATATTTACTCATATACTACTTTACTATCTATTTTTTTTTTTAAAACCCGTAGAAGGGGCCTACGCGTTAATATCAAAAATCAATTACAAGATCCTTAAAAGGATCCTCCAGCTCGCTACTGCTCATAAGAGCTACAGGCAAAAAAGGAACAAAAAAACATGAGAGCCGGAGGTTCCTTATCCTACGAGTACAAGAAAAGCTTAAGTAAAGACTAGGGCTGTAAGTAGGCAGCACCCAAAAAAGGAAGAACAGATTAATCCCATTCAGCTCGATCTTCCTACAAAATTACATATAGACAATGATATAGAAATACGAAATATAAACTAAGAGTACCTTGCGGTCATTGAAGCTCCCTGCTAATGTATATATTAAAATGTCCCTGCAAGAAGTACTCCAAAAAAAAAAAAAGATATTAGTAAGAAAGTAGTTAACAAAATGAAAAAAACCCGTTAGTATCCTTGATGGACCAGATCTTACGATGAACGTAAGAACCCACCAGCAAACCGTCTAGGAACCCAAAATTGCCACCAATACTCCAGCAATCCCTCCAGGCAATCACACTAAAAAAATAACCAGAAATACTATTGTAATTCCAGAAAGCCTCAATGAAATTCTCGGCCGCAAAAAAAACACAGAGAAGATAAAGCCCCCCAGTAGTCAAGCAAACAGCCTGATTGACCCCCAAACAGCAACCGTAAGCAAGATACCAGTTCAAAAGACACACTAAGCCCTCCTCCCAGCACAGGCCACGCCCAATATCACTAGGTAACAAACAATCCAACATAACCACCAACCACCGACCCAGAAATAGAAAACTGGGAGAAACAACAAAACCCCCAGCAGAAAACACAAAACCCACCAAACTAACCAAAACGGAAAAAAAAAAAACCAACCAAACTTAATGACAAACATAAGAAAAACCAATTTGATCTAAATTGATAAGGCCCTGAATATGGAAGGGCAATTGAAAAAAGGAAAAGTCATTATAATTCTTAAGCAAAGTGCCCAAAATAACCACATTGTTAGCAAACAAGATTAAGTTAATGCACATGCATAAAATAATATGTTTTACTATATAAGTTAATATTAATGATATTTTTATGTGATTTAAATATTTGAAATATTCAAACATTACATATACAAGACTTGAACCCAAGATCTTTTCGTTGTTAACTAAAGCTCTCAACCAACAAACCAAGGTGAGCTGCGTTGCTCTATTTTATGTTAATGTCATTCTAGTCCAACAAAGTTCAAGAAATATTCTTCAATGATGACATGATGAAACAAACTATTGAATTAGGAGTCTAAGAAGCTGTAAGTATTTGAATTATTTAACTATGATTTTCTTATCTTAGCCATATGTAGTTTGATTCTTGCAAGATATGTATACAATTAGACGAAATGATTTAACTTTTATGTAGTTAAGCCTCTTAATAGAGATCCTTCATTGTTATTGGGAAAAGAACTAATTTACATCACTAATAAATCAAACTTTTGCAGCACTTTTGATGGCCTATTGCAACGGTTCAAACACCTACTAATTTACATCCTTGTCGCTTGTTGCATGGACAAACTATTCCGGAGCTTTACCATCAAGCCACTAAATTTTGCCGGCCAAATCTGCTTCACTAAACCTTGCAACATCGTTATCTTTTCCCTTTGCTGGCCAAATTCATGTTGCTTTCTAACGTTATGCTAGATCGTTATGCTAGATAGACGCGAGATGTCGAGCGTGAGCTAGGGCACGGGCAAGGCAGGAAGAGGGGAGATATTAGTTATTTTGAAATCATGAAAAGTTTGCGGCAGTTTGCAAACTGCTTCTATAAAAATAGCTGTGAAAATTTTATGTTTTTTATAATCTTTTAGCAGTAATGAAAACCCCTACTTATAATAATTTATAGCGGTGGTTTTAAAACCTCCACCAATAAATGCTGTGGAAATCTTATAATGTTTTCGACTAACTTCTACAAATTTTAAATATTTTAAGAGTGATTTTTCTTCAACAAGACTATTTATACAATCATCATCTCTATCTAACTTGATAAGTTAAAAAAAAAAAGGAAAACAAAGTTTCACTATCTAATGCTTATATATAACAATCTTCATAAACTATCTAATTACTCATAACATAAAATAAAATAACTTCATGACATCTTCATTTGTGAAAATATAGATCATGTTGTCCTTTGTGGATGAATTCATCTTTATTGATTTAAATGACCAAAAAAAACAAAGGTAAATAGAACCTACTATGTACTTGACTTTATTAATAAAAATTAGAGCTATAACCGCTTGACACAGAGATGGGCTGACCTATTTATTCACCTTTATTTCTCTGCTAATCTAAGAGCATAGTAGCCCACCAGGCTCATTCAATACACCATTTAAAAAGCTTAAATCTAAACTCCATTACGATTAAAATATACCTAACAAAATACAATATTCATTCATAGATCCACTGTAACCCATCACATCAGTCTACATTCCAAGACTTGCTAATTTATTATTTACTTACTAACTTTTAGCATAATTATTAAATAATATTTGTTAGTACTGATAGATAATAAAGTATAAAAAAAGAAGAGATCAATACTCATACACAGTTATGCTTATAGCTTGCAAACTCCTTTCTCTTTCTTTTTAACTTCCTTATTCATCTGCAAGCTCTTCTACCTTTCTCTTCCTTTCTCCTCCAGCTGCTTCCTTTCTTCTCCCACCCCTTTTCTCCTTCTCTTTCCACCAACAACAAAGGATCAAATAAAAAAAAAATACAAAACAAAAGATCCGAGGAAAGAAGTATTCAGAGAAATCAATCACGGCATCAAATCAAGCCATCAAATCAAACATCAAATAAAAGGAGAAGCTTGACAGAAGAGATTGAGCTCGAATCCATCAAATCAGAAACTAACAAGAGGGCAGAGAGAAAGGAGAAGCATCGGAAGCTCACAAAAACAGAAAAACAGCCATCATGTCATCCTCTTCAGCTGCCGCTTTTTCTTTGGAGCATCTCTCTCCGCCTCCATCAGAACAGCTCTGCTATGTTCACTGCAACTTTTGTGATACTGTCCTTGCGGTATATTTCCTCCTCCTTGCTCGTCCTCCTCCTCCTCCTCCTCCTCCTTTTTCTTTCCTTTCATTGTTCACTGTTATTTTAGCAGTAATATATATATTTTTTGTTTTATTGATTTCTAACAGGTCAGCGTCCCTTATACCAGCTTGTTCAAGACAGTGACTGTGAGGTGTGGTCACTGCACCAACCTTCTCTCTGTTAATATGCGAGGTCTTCTTCTCCCCGCTGCTAATCAGCTCCATCTTGGCCATCCATTCCTGGCTCCTGTTCAGCATAATCTCTTGGTAAATTTTGTTAAGCATTTATAGTTTTTTATAACAAATATTTACTCAGAGCTTATCTGATTGAATGCTGGTAGAAATCAATATTGATTTTAAAAACTAACAATAATTTCATATTAAATTCTTCTTATTTCCATTGCTAATGAACCCTAAATATTATCTTCTTCTTTATATCAGAATCGTTTATGACATTTGTTTTTCTTTGTGCACATAAATGATCTCTCTACTAAGGAGGAAGTGCTGAGTTGCCCTCCACCAAATTTGATGATGGATCAGCCCAACCTGAGCAATAACAACTCAATGCCACCGGCTGCAAAAGGAACAGAAGAAGAGCTTCCTCAGACTCAAATAGTCAATAGACGTGAGATCATTCATACATATCTATATTCTACTTTCCCTATTTATAAATGAAAGAGTTAAACAGTAACACTATGTGTCTTCTTCCCAAAATTCCTTTCCTTTTACTCTCGTAACTTGCCTAAGTCTGAAAGCAGAAGAAGGGGATGGAAAAAAAAATTAAGGAAAAGTGCATGGGAAGTCTGTATATATATATGAGTCATGATGGCCGGAAAATTTCTTACCATTGTAACATTTGTTCTTGCTTCAATCAAACTCTCTGTCTTCTCTCTCTTTTCTTCTTTGCTATTTTCTGCATTTGCTGTAGCAAATAGTTGTTTTCCCATCTTCCTTCCACCATGTCTGTCTAGATAACCCACATACCAGAAGGCCACATTATTTCTTATCCTTTTCTTCACAAATTAATATGAGAGAGAGAGAGATGGAGGCAACATGTTTTGATTTTTTTTTTTTTTTTGTCTTGTGGATGCAGCACCAGAGAAGCGGCAAAGAGTTCCATCCGCATACAATCGTTTCATCAAGTGAGTTCTTATAAAATAGAACATTTAAAGTGTAAAAAAGAATGTGAGAACAAGAGGAAAATTCACTGTGTTCTTGCAGCTCTCTTGTCTATCATATTTATTATATGCCCAAAATGAAAAGAAAATTAATTAATCATATAAATACTTACTGTATGTTATAGTCTTTTCACTATTAATATCACATACTTCACTGCAATTAATACTTAAAAACAAGATTGAACACAGCAATTCTTCTCACAATCATCAAATCAATGAGTAGTAAACACACACACACACAAATTCTGTGATTTATATAGAATAAATTCAAAATGTAGGCTAATATGATATGATATATATATTTTTAATTATGATAGTACTATCATGAGATATAAATATTATATAATATAACAGTTTTGGCAACATTGACTATGAACTGTGTTTGCAGGGACGAAATCCAACGCATCAAAGCTGGCAACCCCGACATTACCCACAGAGAAGCATTCAGCGCTGCTGCTAAGAACGTAAGCCAGAAGAGACCTTCCATGGCTAGGGTTTCATTTCTTCACTCTGAAGCTTTTGACCAATTTAATTTTTTTTTTCTTAATTTACAGTGGGCCCATTTCCCCCACATTCATTTCGGGCTGATGCCCGATCAGGCCCTGAAGAAAACCAGCGTCCGTCCTCCGGTAAAGATGGAGAACTACTAATTCATCTTTCTACTTTTATTTCAAACATTTTAAAAATAAATATAAAGTAATATTTTACAATCTTGTTATTATTATATATTATAAGCATTTCAGTCTCTTTCAGTGTCTCCCTTTTACGGATTTTGATGTGATGGTTAGTTTTCTAATTTTGTTGTTTTAGGAAGGAGAGGAAATTCTGTTGAAAGATGGATTCTTTGCAGCAGCAGCAGCCAACATGGGAATATCTCCGTTTTAGTTAGGGTTTTGTTGCTAATGATTAGGGTTTTTTCTTTCTCTCTTCTCTCTTCTCTCTTCTCTTTATCATAAGAAGGAATCAAGCTGTGATCTTTAGTTCTTTTTAGCTATCTTTGCAAGTTTCAATGTTGAGCGTCAGTGAAAAAGTAGACCATGTTTGCCTTTTTCTAAACGCTGTTGCGACTTTCATCTCTTTGAATATGCCTTATTATGCTCTTAATCATGTGTTCTTCGGAATCCTTCTCATGTTTTATGTAGCCTTAATTAGAGATTATGTTGCTAATTAATTAGTATTGTCATAATACATCTGATATTAGCTAGATATCAACTGTTAATTAAGTAGTATTAGATCAGGTCTCTCTCTCTATCTATCTATATATGAAGAAAATGGAGATTCAAGCTTTGTTTGAGACATCTTCTTTGCTGCTTTCTAAAACGGCTTTTAAGTACAAAAAATTTTTTGAATAAGAAAATTTTGTACTAAAAAAGAGTTTTATTAAGTAATAAAAAAGCTGTCCCAAACAAAGCTTCAGTTTGTCATTTATGTAAGAATTATGCTTGGCTGTCATTTGAGTGATTAAACTTTTTATTAAAAAAAAATATGGCTAATTAGTTATGTTCATTGTTTTAATTGCATCCTCATTGGCATATATGAACTTCGGAAAGCTATTAGAGTTTTGTTTATTTACATTGTTTGGAATCCTGATCATGTGTTTAGCAGCCTCCATTGGTTTACTGTTTTCCTTGATCATGATCAACCCTCTTTTTTTTTTGGAACTTGAAGGCCAGCTTCCTTAAGTTCTTGTTCTATTTAGCTTATTCTGATTATGAGAAAGCTGATTTTCACCAGTTAATTTTAAACAAGAAAATGTTATGTGTGTTCTCATAGCTAACAATAAAAATAAGTGAGAAAAGATGAACACTACCAAAAAAATCTCTCTTTACCGGCGGCCAAAATCCGCCGGTAAACAAGAATTTTCCTGTAGTGGAAAGAAAATACTTAAATTTATCTTTATTTAGCATATGCAACCCTATTTTTCTTATTGAAGAGATATTTTCTATTCAATCATTTCATCCACCACCCCCAACTCCCAGAAGAGGAGATTGGTAACCCTAAAACTCCATTGACACATTTCCTCCATTTTAACACCCTTAACCTTGCAATTATTTTATAGCATGTGTTATCGAAATTGAATTTGATTATTACAAATCAAGAAATGGTCAATTTTATCAAATTGATAACAATATAACCGGAAATTCTTATTAAAACATCACATTTAATTATTACTATAATATATAACACATTTAATATCTTAAAATTAGATCACTTCTTATAGATATAATAATCAAATTAGAAAGGAGCAAGTAAGATGTAATGTCACACACAAATAATCAATGTAACTAGGCTTCTTTTGGGAACGACTTTCTTACTCCTCTAAAGCAACAGCTAGAAAGTCATCCAAACGAAACCTAGCTAAAGTGCTTTTTAAACCTTACATCCATGAATAATTAAAAGAAAATGAAATAAAATTACTTTTGCACTCAGCATTACCATCCACTTTTAATCTCCAATAAATCAATGGTAAAAGTTCTAATCATGATCAAACATAATTTTGAAAAAATGTAAGTAATGCATATAAACACATAGATTGATACAATACTTTTTTAGTACATAAATATCTTATTTTTTATTGGATAAGTATAATGATAATATTTATATTTATAAAAGAAGTTAATAAAAGTAATATAAAAACATTAGACATACAATAATATTTTTTTTCAAATAATGTACTGTTTTAATTATCCAAAATTTAAATTTTTAATGATAAAAAATTAAAATTAAATTTGAGCAATTAAACCGTCAAACTATGATTTATCTAAATTTTAAGCAATTGGACTCAAATTTAATATTGCACTTTAATACCATCTTGAAATAATCTTAGTATTTCAATGATAAATATAAAATGTACGTTTTGAAGCTTTAGAATCTATAATGATATTTTATTATATAATATATATATATTAATATTTTATGTATATTTTTATGTTAGGTAATTATTATATTTAAATATATAATAAATATAATTATATAGATATTATATCGACATATAATATAAATAGTATTGATATATAGATAATATATATTAGTGCATCATAGGCGCAAACATGCCAGTGTGCAATCAAGAAGCATGGTGGCATAGTAGTAGCTAGAAAAATATAGAAAATAAAGATGTGGAGGGACAATAAAAGTTTCATTTTTAAATAGTATTCCCTCAATTTTTTTAAATTTAATAATCCAACAGATAGAAAAATTATTTCATTAATTTTTATTTTAAATTCTATAAATCTTGAATGGGATGTGTTCCTCTATTTCTAAATTCCAATATTTTTTTAATAATAATATAGATAATTTTAATATTGCAAAATAAAAAATAGCTCTCATTCTATTAAGGATAAATTAATTAAGCTAAAAAAAAATCCAATCAGGTAAAAGGTGCTCGCAAGGTAAAGATTATAAAGAAGAATCTTAATGGCTAAGTAGTGGGTCAGTTAGACTTAGCATAAAAATGAAGCTTGAATGTGCATTGAGGTCCTATTACATATTGAGTGACTCCCCAAAGGAGAATCATGAAGGAGAATTAGAACATCATAAGAGATGATGGCAAAGTTCTAGCTCATATAGCCTATGGAGAGATTGCTCATAAAATGAAAAATAGCTTTACATCAACCTCCAAAAAGGGAGTGAAGGAATTAAGTCAAGGAACATAACTTATATATTTTCAATAGCTAATGAAAAATATGACTAGATATGACTCATAACACCTAAGAAAAGTAACCGCCTTAACTAAATGAGAGAGGGGGACTTATAAAACCAATCAAGATAAGTATTTCACAAAACTATTTACAATCTAACCATAAGAGATCAGGAAGCTCGAAAATAAGTTTTATATCGTCTATATAAAACTTATTCAATATAGCTCTATGAGCATTTACTGAATTTTTGATTTCTTTTAAGAACTTTGTATCTTTTTTGCATATTAACGCTTAAGCCCTCAGTGGTTTTTAACAAAAAAAAAAAAACCTAATGTGTCTAAGATTCCTTGCTAGTTACATAATAAAAGGGAAAAAGTCTGGCAAAAAGGCGAACCCAATAATTAAATCCCAAAAGTGAAGCACTAGAATAGACACTACAGGAAATTTAGCTTTTTTCGGTAGAATAATCCACCGCAAAATAAAAGAAAACTATCGCAAATCATGATTTGTGATATAATTTATTCTGCCATTAAAACCGCATCGTAAAAATATTTGTGATGAAACAGATCTGTCACAAATATTTTGTGGTGGATTTGTGGCATCTCTACAATGAAAATTTAGTGGCAAATTATGGTGGAAATCTGTCATACATTAATGCAACGGAAAATCCATCGCAAAGTCACCACTATTTGTTATGGATATTTTGGTCACAAACAATGATAATATATCATCTTATCAACGTTTGTGACAAAAACAAGTATCGTAAATCCACTGAAAACATATAGTATAAAAAATGCTAATGTTATTTGTGATTGAGTTTTCTAACAGTACAAATCCAAATAGTGTAAAGGCAATTATTAAATGCAATAATAAAAAGCAATAAAAATCTACAATGAACAACTATATTCCATAAAATTATACAATACACTGTTAAAGTTTTAATAGTTCTTATACATAAAATATATATATATATAAAATACATAAAAAATATTTTTACAAACACTCTAGGTGGAATCTGTATTCTTGCTCTCATCCTCGGCCAATGTAGGCACAGGTTGATTTTCGCCAATCTGCTCTCTCAATCTCATAACTAGATATCTAAATGTTTATGTTCACTTGTGTTTTTTTGAATGTTTTCTAATTCCGTTGTCAAGTTAGCCATCAGTAGGCTATATAATTAATCTCTCCAGAATATGATGCATATGGAGTAGCTAGAAGCAGAAGAGGACTATCCCTAATATGTTTAGGCTAGCTTGCGAGTCTAATCCATAAACTCGATCGTCCCTTCAACATTCCACCTACCTCTTGTGATCAAGTGCGGTAGTCAGAAACGTCTACAGATCCTCTAGAGAAACCCTCACCGGTTATAATCTGGCTCTCTCGAAGTCGTATATATTCATCATACAAAATATAATATAAGATTAATCATCGTATAATCGTCACTTACAATATTTTTGTAAGTATAACATGCTTATATACTTATATTTTCCCTCTTAGCTTGCTCATCTACCTATTCATGGTCCTCTTGGCATTTATGAGTATGACTGTATAATTCAACTGTAGTGTGTTCTTTATCAAGCATCTCCTTCTGTAATATACTTAGATTAACATGCACAAATAAATAAATTATTAAAATTTATTTAAATTCTTATCAATCATTATCTATGCTCAATGTGTGAAACTAAGACCAGTGTATGGATGGATCTATAAATACCCCAGACATGAAAAGCTCAATTATGTCTATTATGCTTTCTTTATCTTCGATATAAAATTTGGGCTACCCCAAGCATTATTGAGCTCTACCCATACACCCTCTCCAATCCAATGCGGTCGCTTGCTTGTCCATCTAATATGAGTGAATATGTCTCACAGACGAGTTGCTCTATATTTCTCAAAATTTATTATGATTTAAGTACCATGCTCAGGTAACCAATAA